CCTGATCACAGGCATTCTGACGGGTCACTGCCAAGTAGGGAAGCATCTCCATGTCATGGGGCTGGTAGAATCCGCACTCTGCAAAGGGTGCAAACAAAAAGATGATATCATCGATCATATCGTCTACAAGTGCTTGATGCACACATTTATTAAATGATTTGTATTCGTTGATAATTGGCTAACACAAGCCGATATAAGAAATGCACCTCTCGGTAATATTGTCAACTACTTACATTAAATCTGCAGGCTGGCTCACGAGCTAGGAGGTGCCGATCTATTTAGGAAGATGCAAAATGGGTTTAGTAAGGCCTAAGTGCCGTGGGTTAACCCACCCTATACACGTTACAGATATAGATGTTAAACTTAACGAAACTGTTGCAATTGAAACATATTATTATGCTTCTATTACAAAGAATACAGTTGTTGAATGTGGTTTATTCATCTTTTAAGAAAAATGTTACTATTGTTTTACTATTAAATGCACCAAAACATGTAAAATACTTTTGTTCCACTACTGCTGATGGCAAAAAATTGTTCCTTAGGAAAACCATAACTATTTTTACTAAATGTTTAGCAATGATTTATTTTTTGTAGGATCAATAAGAATTTTTAAAAGGTATATTTAATAAATGTATTTATAATAGAAATAGTTTTTTTTTTAGGTAAAAAAAAAATATGAAATACCTACTTAGGTAGATACTATTATGGTTTTTAAGCCAATCAGATTTTTACGAATTTATATTTTTTAACAGAAAAAATGTCATTACTAAATACCTGTTGTTTTAATTTCAAAATTCGTTTTTTTTACTTGCTAACCTTCTTAAATATTGTCCTACGATCCAATTTCTACCAAAAACTAATCAACATGCAATTAACATGATACTGATATTTGGTAAACATCTGTTCACCTTTTTTAATTGACAAAACACATGCATTATTCAGAATGCACCTTTCATTTAATAATTAAATAATTCAAATATACTGTAAAATGAATAGGTACATTTGCATCGACCGAATTATTAATAGAAAAATATTTATTTAATCCAGCGAACTTAGTAATACAACTCGATCTGGCAACACGGTAGCGTTGGTGTATGCGGACATCCGAAATTTCTGTTTGAGTATGAAATTTAGTGCTCTCTGTGAGCAATTTTAGAAAGTGAAATGAGATGGCAGCACCTCTCAGAGATAAGACTTTGAAAGAGGAAATTCAAAATAGTGTTATTGTATAATTGAATTTTTCACTAAATTTATAAAAAACTTATTAATGTTTCGAGGTCAATGTCTTTAAATATAATTATTGAAGGTATATTCTTTAATATTACGTTCATTTTTATAGTTAATTTTTGTTAATAAAATATATATATTCTTCAATTACGTCATTTCTGCAAGTTCAAAAATTTTCAAAAAATTTATGTAAGTTTCTTAACCAAAACTAATTTATTTTATGAAATAATGATCTATCTTGATATTCTAGTTTCTTTGTTTTATACTTGTAAAAAAGTAAATTTTCCGATTTTTCTTGAGAACAAATGATACAAACCGGATCAAATTTTGCTAAAATAATACTTAAAGTTGTATATACATTCACAAATTTTTTCAAAAATTTTGAACGTGTAGATACTTTTTTCGGGGGTCCATATAAACCTTAAACTAAAATAAATTGTGATACCAAAAACCACTGTAACATTGGTGACAGTGGTGGGATACAAAGTAGAAGTTCATGGTAAATACTAGATCCACTGAGTACGAAGCAAGCATGAACACTTTAGGCCCACCAGCATGGTTTTTGAGGATGAAAGAGGAGAGAGTAAGGCGAGAAGAGGAAAAGGAAAGGCGTAGGAAGAAAGAAGAGGAGGAAAAGGAATGGCGTAGGAAGGAAGAAGAGGAGGAAAAGGAACAGCGTAGGAAGGAATAAGAGGAGGAGAAGGAACGGCGTAGGAAGGAAGAAGAGGAGGAAAAGGAACGGCGTAGGAAGGAAGAAGATGAGGAGAAGGAACGGCGTAGAAAGGAAGAAGAGGAGGAAAAGGAACGGCGTAGGAAGGAAGAAGAGGAAGAGAAGGAACGGCGTAGGAAGGAAGAAGAGGAGGAAAAGGAACGGCGAGAAGAGGAGAAGGAAAGACGAAGGAAGGAAGAAGAGGAGGAAAAGGAAAAGGAGGAAAGGGGTAGGGAAGCAGAGGTAGAAATTATAAATGGTTTAAAAAAAATTCAGGAAAGTTTCAAGCAAGAGGTAGGTCAGCTTAACACTCGAGTAGATATCTTGGCCCAACAACAACAGAACTTAAAAACTAAATTGAAAAATTTACAAACTAATTTAGAAGAGCAACAAGAGAATTAAAAGCTAATTTGGAACAACAACAAAATAATCTAGAAACTAAGTTAGAGCAACAACAAGAGAATCTAAAAGCTAACTTGGAGCAACAACAAGAAAATCTAAAATCTAACTTAGAGCAACAGCAAGAGAAGGCTAGAGCAGACTTGGAAAGGCAAATTAGAACTGAAATAGTTGAGTTGGAAAAAATAATTCGTAGCCAAGCTCCAGTAAACAACGCTAAAGCTGAAAACACTACCTCGTCTTTATCCATAACCGAACCAAGCCACATTCGAATCCCAGTTTCACAAAACTATACTAGCAAGACCCTTAAGTCACCCACGTTTGACGGTCAGACAACATGGAAAACATATCGACCCCAATTTGAAACTGCAGCTAGAGCCAATGGCTGGACCGAGAAAGAGATGACGGCTTCATTAATAGTGTCATTGCGAGGTCAGGCAGCAACTATTTTACAGTTACTCCCCCAAGTAGAACCCAGTTACTCATCTCTCGTCCAAGATTTGGAGACAAGATATGGCCAGCAGCATTTGAAACAGGTTTTCCAAAGCCATCTAAAAGTTTGTAGTCAGAAACACAGTGAGAGTCTACAAGAATTCGAAGCCGATATTAAAAGATTACTGCATCTGGCCTATCCACAGGCACCTAAAGATTTCTTAGAGTAAATCGGCAAACAAACATTAATTGATGGACTACAGGATGTTAAAATGCAGCAGACTCTTCGGCTACAACACCACAAGACGTTGAGTGAGAACTTATTGCAACCCAGGAATACGAAGCAGCAAAAAGTATATCTAGATCTTCTCGCGCAAAATTAAGAGAAATTCGATTTCAAGAAAGTGAAGAGGCTGCCACTAGTACTATCTCTTAACCTACCCTCACACAAATCTTAAATATCCTACAAAGTATGCAACGAAATAGTCAAAATGAGAGCAGAAGATGCTTCAATTGAGGAAGAATCGGACACCATCAAAGAACCTGCCGAAGCAGGGCTCGTTCTATGAATCGAGAATCGGAGAATGATCCTAGAAATTCACCTAAATCAACCTCCCGAAGCCCGTCACGAAGTCCAACCAGGAATAATTATAGTGGATATGCCTCCCGGAGAAGCCGGTCATCCACACCTAGTCGGCTTTCTAGAAATAACCAGGGAAACGAATAAAGGTCGCACTTACACCTTAACAAAACCTATTGGTTAAGGGGTATATCGATAACCAAGAAGGCACCTTCGTCCTTGATACTGGTGCAACTAAGTCTTTCATTCGAATAGGGATCCTGCATTGGAAACCACGACCAACTCGAAGAAGCTTAGTTCTGGAAACAGTTACAGGGCACACTACTCCTGTTTTAGGCGAGATATCAGCAACCGTACAGATTGGTAATACCCTGATAGAACACTTATTTCTGGTGGCCGATCAATGTGTCCTTGGTATGGACATTGTGCAAAATAAGTTTATCATCGACCTTCGGAACAAGATCTTGGTAATTGGAAACAAGGAAATTGTCCTAAATGCGAAAGAAAAGACTCAACCGATAAAGGTCCTGGTGGAAAAAGACATAGAAGTACCCCAAAATTCAGAAGCTGTCGTCTCGGCGAGACTTCACGAGAAGCGAGAAGTCACACAGCTTACATGTAGGCATTGTGGAAAGTGAAGAATCTGGAATTCTGGTAGCTAGATGTCTTGTTAACGTTGATCAACTAATTCCAGTAAGGGTTGCCAATTTATCGAAGAGACCGTTCAAATTGAAGAAAGGACAAGCCATAGGGCTCTGTACACCCGTGGAAAACATAATCAAGTGCGAAGACCGTTCCTCGGGGAAAGCCACCACAAGTAACCCAGTTCACGCCAGCTTTGTAAAAAGGCTAGTTAAAAATTATGACCATCTGACAGATGAAAAACTTATAAAAGTCAAAAAATGTATCAATACCAACTGTGACATTTTCGAGACAGGAAAATCCACGGGGCGTACCAGTCTTGTTTAGCACAGAATTTATACAGGCGATGCAAGGCCAATAAGACAAGCATATAGAAGACTTCCATTTACTAAGCAGAAAGAAGTAGCAAATATGATACAGGACATGATGGAAGAGCGAATATTATTAAAGAAAATTCTGGTTCCTGGGGCTCACCTATGGTCTTAGTAACCAAGAAAGACAAATCTACTCGTTTTTGTGTAGACTATAGAAGAATAAATCAGATAACATAGAAAGACAGTTATCCACTCCTCCAAATAGACGACACACTAAACACTCTTATCGGGTGCAAAATGGTGTTCCACGCTAGACTTGAAGAGTGGATACTGGCAAGTAGAAGTACATCCTGACGATCGAGACAAAACTGCTTTTTTAACTGGCAGCAGATTATACAGATTCCAAGTTCTCCCGTTTGGTCTCTGTAATGCCCCAGCTACCTTTGAACGTCTTTGAACGTGTTTTTAATAAAATATTCTTATCCAGAAATGTTCAGTTAATTCGAATTTTCAATAAAAAATTGGAGTTTTCCTAAATTGCGATTTACTGCTATTTCCAGAAAAACCAGAAGTATTCTATGACGTCACAGATGTAAAAAAAGTAGTTCATCTCATGAAAACGAATCTTTAATATTGTGGCCAAAAAAAGCAAATAGTTCAAAATTGGCAAGAATTAATATGTGCAACCAATGCTCACCGATGCTTTGTTCATATGCGTGTAGTAATCGTGGAACCCTTGCCAATATCCATAATGTGTGTCGAATCCTCTAAAAGTCGGTGTATATTCTTTTTTGAAAAAACCCAAGTTCCACTTTCCAACAGCATGCGTAGTGTACCCGTTCTGTTTTAAAAGTTGTGGCATTATCGTTTCATTCAGAGGTAGTCCCCAAGGTTCCATCTCTAGTATCACAAAATGTTGCATACCTGTAACAAAAGCTTGCTTTTCTCTTATGCCAAAAAGTAAACCTATTCTTCATAAAGCCGAGGGTAGAGTTGAGGATCATAAAGATAGAAAAAGCTCATAAAAAGTACCTTACTAACAACGGAGAGGTGGGAAGGGAAGGAGATGTCATACTAACAAAATTGCGCCCATTAGCAAATTGTATTGAATATTACCTGCCACTTACTTATTTGCAATTCGATTTAATTTTCTCGCACCTGTCATTTGTTACCTATAAGTAAGATACTTGTTTATTTAAATTGCGTTTGATTTGGGCTGAATTTTGTAAAATTCTTAAACAAGTATAGAATATGATTACATATTGGTATTTTCACTTCTTCAAGGGCAAAAAATCCGATGACGTAGCGAAATTCCGCTACTCCTGGCAATGCTGAAAGAAGTCCTACTTATAGACACCTTTTAATGTCCTCCGGAGGGTGTATTACTTAGCTTGAATCGTGAATAGGGCGTGAACCCCTCTACTTATCATTACTTTGTGTTTAAAAAAAGAATTAGGCATTCCAAACAAAATGACTACCAGTGAGTTTTGACAGATTATGATATGGCAACATTATTGCAACCCTGTAGGCCAGGTGATTTGACAGGATCAATGAAATAGATAGTTATATAGATTGATCATTATTGTTTTTTAAAATAGACATAAGCTTATGCCTTGACGTAAAAATGTTAGTAATTATTTTTTAACTATATTCTAAATCTTAAAATTGGTTATAAAACATATTTTTGCAAAACTGATTTAAATTAATGAACACTTGCCAGGCAATATGGCCGCTCGCAAACGACCCGCTTTGAGCAATCTATATAACTTTATATGTATCATTGACCCTGTCAATGACAACAGATCCACAGGGTTGCCATATCTAAACTGTCAGTTCCACTTGTCAGCATTTTTTGTCGTTATAATGCCTAATATAAGTAAAAGCTGCAATTTTGATATAAATAAACCTATGCAACCAATAAATCTTCCATCTGCAAAATTGTCAAATTTTTAGTGAATTTGATTTTATTTTTTGTGTTGGTTTGTTTGTTTTAAAATACTTTGATTGTGAATACTATATAAATATTTTATTTGTTTTAGAATTACTGAAAGACCGTTAGCCAGAGAAGTTATATTCACTTATTATTTAGATTATTTAATGCTTTTCCATCTCAAATTTAATTTGGCATTCATTCATAAACCTATATAAAAAAAGTTAAAACATTCTTACTTACTACAGACCGAAATTAAATTAGAAATCTAATAGATTCACTATAGTAGAACGTACAGTCATGTCCTCTTTTTTGTGTTTCTTTTATTTTTCATATTATCCTATTTCTCTTCTCTTTATTTTAATTTTCTGGTTATTAATTATTGTAAGGGTAGTTACAAACATTTTTAGGGAATTAATTTAATTAATGTTAATTTATTTACACTATGTTAAATAGGTACATAACAAACAGGAATATACCACGAGCCGTTTATAACTTTGTGGTACTTTCTATATTTATTTACGTACAATATTAAATAAATTGTACAATGTATTTTTATTTTTTTGTAAATAAATATTATTATTAAAAAAATCTTTCAGGAGCATATTGATTGATATTTGGACCAGGACCATTAGATGATTGATATCCGATTGATAGAAGGAGCCACTCTAAATATATAACTTATCGATTTATAAGGTCCTGTATCTTTGAACTAAAGCTTGTATGACTAAAGTGCAAATAGACTCTAAAGGTTTGTTCGAACACCATAGCAAATCGGTTTACGTACTCTCGGGATTCTGCGCACTCTAGATTTAATGTTCCAACAAACTTCGGACTCAAAACTGTACAAAAACCTACTGTTCGAACACACCCAAACCTAATCACAAACTTGTGTACTGTCAAGTCAGTTCCTGGGTCTGAATAAACGAATTGTCAGGACATGCGCAAAACGAAAGTGAGCTTGTAATAGCATCGATCGTAGTCTTGATGCAAGGAATATATACTTTTTCTACGACCACTTAGGAAAGTGACACATATCACACTATATAGTCCTATGGAAAGTGCCCTATATCACACGCGTATAAATAAGAATTTACTTTCCACCCGTGTACGAATATGTTACTTTCCGCAGTAGCTGGCACAAAATGTCAAACACCTAATTTCTATTTTGATTTATGTAATGTTCATATTAATATTAAAATCGATATGATTGTTAAATTATTGAAATTGTTGTAAATTAGATCCTAGATATTTTATCTTTAACAATTATTATTAAAATAATTTTAAAATAATGTTTGCTCTTTATTCTGGTTAAATACATAACCGATTAGATCATTGAATTGACACAAGGGCTATTAGCGCAGGTGGTTAGAACATCGAACTTATGAACTTTGCCATTTGATACCGCGTTCAAATCCTGGCAGGGCAGAATTTTTTTTGTTTTTTTTTTATTTTTTTTTTAGTTTTTTTTTTGTTTAGAAAATATGAAAATTAAATAAATACGAATATTGTTGATTATTTTTTTAAATACATTTTATTATAGTAATAATAACCTTGGTTTTACATTTTTTGATGACATTATTTTGTGGTCGTAGGAAAAATATCGTACATCACTTGTGTGAAAAGTGATTTTCCAGACTCGGATGATAGTCGCACTCGGCTTGTGCCTCGTGCGACAATATTTCCCACTCGTGTGAGAAATGTTACTTTCCACACTCGTAATGTAATATACTATTTATCGATTGTAATTTAGCTTTCCTACGACCACTTAGGAAAGTGACATATATCACACTATATATTTCTATGGAAAGTGCTCTATATCACACTCGTATGAATAAGAATTTACTTTCCACCCGTGTACGAATATGCTACTTTCCGCAGCAGCTGTAATGTGTTCGACATTACACATCATTTCTATTTTGATCTATGTAATGTCCATATTAATACTAAAATCGATATGATTGTTAAATTATTGAAATTGTTGTAAATTAAATCCTATATATTTATCTGTAACAATTATTAAAATAATTTTTAAAATAATGTAACGCGAGTGTGGGTTGAAACTATTTATTTAATTAAAATACAAAATAAATATCCGAACGTGTAAACTATTTACAATTAAAACGTTGATCCGCCCCGCGCTGACCCGCTTTCATCCATGGTAACCGCTTCCATGACCGTTCTCGATCATTCTTCACACTTTCTCCCCGTTTCTGTCAGCCTGCCCGATTGTAGGTTGGGTTTCCTGTCACCTTGACGGTTCGTTGTCTCGTACTGTTATGGCAAACCCTGGCACTGTCTCGTCCGTAGAGCCAAACCGTTACACTGCCCCCTCCTCAGATGCATTCCTCCTGGAATGCTGTTGAAGTCTTCAGACGTGGGGTTCTCTCCGTCCTGGAGCCGCTGTATTCGTACACCTTCATCGTGGCCTCCGGCGAATGGTGCTAGTCGATCAGAATGGACTACTAACGGTTTTCCTCGGGGAGCCTTGTAGATTCGATAGACTACGTCATTGATTCTCTTCCTGATGACATATGGACCCTCCCAGCTCTTCTGCAGCTTTGGACATAAGCGCCGCCTTCTTCGTGGGCTGTAGAGCCATACCAGGTCACCTTCCTTATAGCAGGACTCTGCTGTTCGGCTGTCGTAATACTTCTTCCCTGCATCGGTTTCTGGCAGAGGACCCAGTACATCTACAGCGATCCTCTCGAATGGGCTTCCTACGATGTACTGCTGCATTCCAGCCCTACGCTTGCGTTGTAGTCCATTGCTCGCCGCACAGGTGGCACATCTTCGGCACCAGTCTCTTACGTCGTCGGAGCAGCTCACCCAGTAGAACCTTTCTCGAACCTTCTGTAACGTCTTCTTCACACCCAGGTGTCCTCCTGACGTTCCATCGTGAAGCTGTCGTAGTATCTCTGGTATGCAGGTCTTCGGGACTAGCAGCTGCCTCTTTGATTCAGTGCCATCGGCATTTTCAACGATTCTTTTTAGCAACCCCTCTTCAATCACCAAGGAGTTCCACTAAGCCCAGTAGGATTTCAGTCCTGGTGAAGATGACGATACCTCTTGCCAGGTTGGACGACGATTTGCTGACACCCATTCTCTGATTCTTTTCAGGTCAGGGTCGCTCTCTTGCTGCTCTTGAATCCTCCCTTTGGACCATTCCTCGCTGACGACTTTAATCTGGCGCAGGCTGGCTTCCTTCTCCTCAAGGCGACTGCAATGGGAGCAATTCTGTTGGCAAGGTCTTCTGGAAAGGGCGTCGGCGTTACGGTGACTCAGTGAAGTCAGGACGAGGAGAGAGTCTTGTAGGCTACTTCGGGTCGATGTCGCCCTCCTGGAGTCGACCCGTTCTACTTTTCCGGCTGTCTGGGGGTCATCTTGGGTGGTCTTGTCACGATGCTGGCATGCACTTCTGACGTGACCAAGTTCTCCGCAGCTCCAACATCGTACTGATCTCCTCTTCTTCGTCGCCATAGTCTTCATCAGGCTCACCAGCTGTTCTAGGATCTCCCTGTTGGACTCTTCATGGTGTTCCTCTTCACTGGAGTGGCTGGTGACAGTTCGGACTCGGTCATGGGCACGGGACGCTGCAGTTGCTGCTTCAAACTCCAACGCCGTTGACAGTGCATCCACCAGGACCTTGGGACGGGCTAGGCGCAGTGCTCTCTGCAACTCCTGGTCTCTCATTCCATCGACGAACGCTTGGACAGCTAGGCATTCGAGTACGCTTTCAGGGGCCGAGGGATAGGCAAAGCGTACCATCCGTGCAACGTCGGCTTCGAACTCCTGGATGGACTCACCTGCCTTCTGTCTTCTATTCTTGAGCCGAGACTGGTAGACTTGCTCTAGATGTGCTTGCCCATACCTCATCTCCAGGCGTTTCACCAGTTGGTCGAAGTCTTCGGACTCGTCGGAATGGAGGGTCTGCAGGACATCAAGAGCATCACCTCGTAAGGCAACTGTTAGAGCCACCGCTTTCTCTTTGGAG